CAAAAGAGTATAAAATCCTTTTTCAAAGCTAGGCCTAGGCCTAGGTCCACATTTTGATCTTAATTTAGTTATTGAGATCATATAAAAATAACGCTCTCTTTCAGGGTAATGAAGTTTGTACATGGGTGAATGATGATGCCTTTGCATGCAATTTCACATGGCTCCAAAATTGATGTGTAGGGGTCTATATAAGACCTCATTGGTGATGAATTATAATCGTGAGGTCCAGCTGATTAATAAAGATAGCAGTCCATTTTGTCCACACTTAGTCCAAGAAGTGTGTTAAGCCCAAGCGCTCAAAGAAAAATATTCATGTCAATATGTCAGTTTTTACTATCCAATTACACTCGTACATGGATGATGGATCCATGTGAATGTGTGCTTATGTCAATTGTAAGAATCTCTCACATTTTTATTGTTCACTCATACATACATATATATATAGAGAGGATATGGTTCAAATAAGAATTAAGTCCTAGCGTGAGAACTGTGAAAAACGCTATTTTTAATTGTATGAAGTGCTATGATTGATTATGTTTTAGTGTTATTTTTAATCAGGATATATTTTATTAAAAATTGCAACACAATTTATATTAGCATTTGTGAAAATGATAGCACCATGTGATAATAAAAATAGCATCATACACAAGTAAAAATAGCATCAAATATGGTTCTCACGGTTCTCACACGAGGACTAGTTTTACTTGAACTAACCCCTATATATATATGTGTGTGTGTGTATAAAATGAGTGCTTGTTGATCCTAATTATAAAAATTCCATTATATTCCCAATAATGTAAAATTTACGTTATTGCATTAATATAGCGATTTATATGTAAATTAAATTGTTTATATTTATGTTATTAATTTTTACTAATAGTAAATTTTATAAGATATGTCATTATATCTAACTTAATATGATTTTAAATATTTTATACACACATATAACTTATAAAATTGTGTAAATTTGTATGTGCTCAAGATTGATTACTAGCATGAAAGGACATCATGGAATGAAATAAAAAATGATTGATTGAAATAAAGAAAGTAATTATTATATTAGGGTAACCATGCCTAATTGACGTTTCATGTGGCACCCAGCCTAAATAATTAGGATTACAAAGTGTGCGATCCATTAGGTTAATACATTCTGAAAAATTATATAAAGGGGATTGAAGTTAGTCCGCTGCATGACTATGAAATTGTTGGAGTGAGTCGGTTGAGTTAAAAAATGGATCAATTCATGGGCATCAAGCTTATGAGACAAAATCATTTAGCTTCGCTTATTATCGTCCGCTGGACAAACTAAATCATGATTGGGCCTGATATTGGGCCACTTTTTGTAACTAAAGTTATTAAGGGGCGATTGTATATAAATTCTACAGTAAAAAAAATCAATTAAAACTAAAATTTAACTCAACTCCACTATCTATAATATTATCAATATAATTAAATAATATCAACCGATCATTCTTACACATCACATCAACTTTAATTCACTATTCATCCAGTCACATAATTTTAACTAACTATCACTTCCAATCATTTTCTCATACTTTTACATCATATCAACTTTAATTATTTTATTTTAAACATTATTTTAATATATCCACTAACAACTAACCATACCACATTTTTTTAAATTTAACTATAGTTAAAAAATAACCACTTTTTTACTAGTTGAGTCATATCTAATCACCCCCTAAAACTTATTGAATAGAGGTGAAAGACTCAAACCGTCAAAGGACTTGGTTGATGACAACAGCCAATTTTTTTACAATACGAATTGGAAGGCTCATAGTTGCATACCGCTTTTTTCATGAAAGATTTTTTTTTTTTTTTTTGCTACAATTTTTATAAAAGAAATTGATACATATTCCATCAGATAAGACAAAAGAATTAAAAAAATAAATAAATCAACCCTTTTATGGCTAATTTGCAATGTTTAGCGGGTTCTGATTTCATAAATCATATATACAATGCTTTTTTCTTGTTGGATTTCTTTTCGGATAGTTTTAGATTGCTTAGTTTAGGTTGACTCTCAATTTTTATGTTCACGTTTTTATGTATAGTTTTACTTGATTTAATTTTCGTTGCTTTGGTTTATCATTTTGGAATTACAATATGGGAGAACAATTTGATGTTAAACAAAAGAAAATGCATCTTTTCCTTTTGGTAGCGTTCGGCCATAAAACAATTATGTTGTTTCTCTCTTTAAGGAAACTTCGTATATGAACGACTGCGTCAACTCGTGGATAAAAAAAAAAAGCATAATTGTGTCGTCCGTATTATGATTCGTGAACTCACGAGCTTGACAAGGATGTTTATTTTGTTGCTTTAAAACGGCACTAAAACACCTCTCATGCCATACAAAATGTAATCTTCTAGTCAATATTTTTATGTAATAAAACCATGTTTTCTTTTATACATTTGAGGTACATTTCTTTTTTTTTTTTTCTTTTTTTGAAATGATAGAATATATAAATATGTACATCTAATTAACAGTTAGAAATAACCAAACAGTCTTCCAGTTGAATTTAGTGGAGAGATTACACAAGTGTACTTGTGTTGGAAAAAATAGCACAAAGTGCGGCCATTTGAGGTACAGTATACTTTTGTCTTGTGCCATGTGTCCGTGCTTTATGGCCGCCTAACGAGTCCAATAACAATATTTACCAAACACAAATTACAAGTAGTTATCAGCTTGCATGCCTTAGATTTTTCTATTGAAAAATCTTAACAAATTCTTATATTCTATGTGATGTATGAATAAAGTGAACGCTAGTGGATTTAGTATGGAAATCTTGGATTGGGTATGGTTCACATGGAAGCTGATTTGGAGTGGTTATCCCATAAATTATTATTGGATTTAGCTCTGATAAAAGCTACCTAATGACCCACTTTTCAAAAGTCCTTGGTTAATTTTACCAGCAAACTCGGAAGTATTTACTCTAAATTTGTATAATTGCTTGTGGCAAAAAATAATACTAAAACCAGAAACAAATATAGGTGGCCTAAATTTACTTGCTCTTTTTTTTTGGTACAATGAAGGAGGTCAAAGACCTAGTTACGGACCCGACGAGGCCACGAGGGTAGGAAACTCTCATGATATCGTGGCTTAGCCAGTAACGATGCCCATCTGGGGGAATATGAAGCCTATGGAAACCAACCGAGAAAGCAATGCCCGCTAGATGATCAACCGCAAAATTGGCCTCTCGATGAATATGTTGTATCTGAATCCTCCAATCCCACCGAGCCATCCGTCGGATCTCCTTAACAAGCGCTGCATGTGGGCCAGCATAGTTCTCGGGCCCGAAGACCAGCTGGATCACGCATTGGCTATCCACCTCGACAATTACTTTACGAAATCCCCAATCCCATGCAAGCCGGAGTCCATGAAAGAGACCCCAAAGTTCGGCTCCCGTGATGGTACAAGCTCCAATATTCATGGTAAATTCATCAATCCAACGACCCATCTCATCCCGGATTAATCCACCGGCATGGCCTAGTCCCGTCGAAGAATCAAAAGTCCCATCCGTATTCAATTTTCACCACCCCTCCGCGGGCAGCCG